CACCCTCAGATGCCACCCGAAGTCCGGAATGCCAAATTGGCGATCCTGACCTGTCCGTTCGAACCGCCGAAGCCGAAAACCAAACACAAACTTGATATCACGTCGGTCGAAGAGTTCAAGCGGTTGCAGCAGTATGAAAAGGACAAGTTCGCCGAAATGATCCAGCAACTAAAAGATGCGGGCGCCAACCTTGCCATCTGTCAGTGGGGTTTCGATGACGAGGCCAACCACTTGCTTCTGCAGAACAATCTGCCGGCCGTGAGATGGGTTGGCGGACCCGAGATTGAGCTGATCGCGATTGCAACCAACGGACGGATTGTTCCACGATTTGAAGATCTCACACCGGAGAAACTTGGAACTGCGGGGGTGGTCCGGGAGATGACGTTCGGTACGACGAGAGAGAAGATGCTGGTGATCGAGGAATGTGCGAACAGCCGTGCTGTGACTGTGTTTGTGAGGGGCAGCAACAAGATGGTACGTTGATGACCTGCTTCATATTTCCAGGGGATTGCTGACGTTAGCATTAGATTATTGACGAGGCCAAACGTTCGCTCCACGACGCTCTCTGCGTTGTCCGCAATCTTGTCCGGGACAACCGGGTTGTGTACGGTGGTGGTGCTGCGGAGATTGCATGCTCTATTGCGGTTGAGGATGCTGCAGTGAAGGTTTGTATATGCTATAACGACGGACTACGTTGTTCTGATGTTGACTTTTCTGCAGAGCCCTGGTATCGAACAATACGCCATGCGGGCCTTCGCCGATGCTCTGGATTCGGTGCCCCTGACGCTGGCCGAGAACTCGGGCTTCAGTCCGATCGAGACGCTTGCGGCGATTAAGTCACGGCAAGTGAAGGAGAAGAATCCGAGACTGGGTGTGGACTGCATGGGAACTGGCAATAACGGTAGGCCTGGCTGAGTTGTCAGAGAATGATTCGATACTGACACTATGTAGATATGAGAGAGCACTTTGTGATCGACCCTCTTATTGGCAAGCGTCAGCAGCTGCTGCTGGCTACTCAGCTGTGCCGGATGGTTTTGAAGGTGCGTATCTATCGTCTGAACTCAATTATATCAAGTACTGACGTGCCATAGATAAACAACGTTATTATCTCTGGCGAGGACGAAAATGAATTCTAGACTACATCTGTAGACCAGTTGCGACGGCGTCAATAAAGCATGAATTTCTATCAATGAGTACGAAGTACAGATAATAATGAGCCTGGTTTGACTATGTAGTCTAGTTAGAAAATCGTCGCAACCAATTCGCATTTTCTGCCAAATGTCAATCTATTGCTCTCCGTAGTCCGTACTACGAATGGAACAGTGGAATAGTGAGCCTTGACTTGATTGACAAATTTACTTTCCTCCTTTCTCTCCGTACTCGACACCGTACTCCGTAAGTGAAAACGCATAATCGGGACGGAGTACTCCGTACTAGGTACCAAGTCTACGGTCTAGCAACCCCTGAAAATAGCCCAGCCCCTTGGGCACCTGGTACCTGGTACCTGGTTACCAGGGCACCGGTACGGAGTGCTCCGTAGTCCTTACTGGTATACAGTATTACCTCCTATCTACGGACCGCTCCGTGATCAGGGGTAGATTACTAGATAGATCTGTTCCAGGAGGCTGGTAAGTTGTAGCTAACTAACTACCTAGCTAACTAACTGATTCCGCGATTCATTTAAATAATATTGACGGTTAGCCCATCCTTAAGGCTACGGGATACCTTGTAAGTCTATCCGTTCTATGTATGGAGTTAGCTCGGTCCATGATCCATCGATCCTTCAATCTTTCGTTCGGGTCGAATGGTATGTAAATTTTTTTAAGTCCTTGTGACCTTAATTAATAATAATAAGAGCAGTATGGTACCACACTTGTAGGTAATAAACATGGTGTTATTGCTATGTTTCGTATAGAGTGATACTATACTGTTAGTGTGTACACTGCGAGATATTTATTTCTCATACCGAGACCATAATAATGCCTCAGTGCCATCCATCCATCATCAGGCAGAAAAATCTCTGAGGAATGCCCCGACTTGGCTAGACTAGCTTGCCTGGCCTGGCCTGGCATAACTTACAGTTCTGCGCTCCGTGCCTAATTCTACTACTCCGTATTCAATTCTGCCCGAATTGCCCCTTATGTGATCACGAACTTGCAATTCCAGACCAGGAGTCCAGAGGACGGAGTACGAGAATCCAGTCGATTTCAGTCGGTGTTCCTGGAGGTACCGTCGCCAGGGTGGAATGGGAGTACATACTCTGAAAATTTCGTTCGTTGTCTGGGGAATTCATTTAGCAGTACGGAGTAGAACCTATATTGATATTAACATTAATATTACTGTATTATGCAGAATGGAGTATCAAACAGCTACCTACATTCTCCGTACCTACCTGGCAAGTTGATCTGTATCAGATTGTCAATAATTGATGCAAGACCAGACACGACACGACAGTAACATAATATCCAGCGTCGAGGACTCGAGGTACGACTTGAGTCGACTCGACCAGGGTAACATCATCTATTCATCCTCCGTTCTTAGAGTAGGATCTGTCTTTTTGACTCTCTGAGTCTGACAGGTTAACCGTCAACTCAGCTTGACTTGACTTGGCCACATGGGCATACGTCCACGTGAGAAGAAGAGCTTAAAGCTAAAGTAAAGAAAAGCCTAAATACCATAATAATAACATTCGTCTTGCACACGGTGGGTATTATTATTAGTTGGGCCAGATTACAGTAACACTCCAGAAAATCGCTAGTTCGTACAGTAAATAATACCATCTGTACTCCGTACATTCTGCACGGCGATCGGACATGAATTCCCTCCGTTGGACGGATCAGGATCAACCTGAAATTGAATACTATCCATCTGGAGTACAGCACAGTAGTGAGTTAGTTAGCTCGTGACAAGAACGTGATCATCATCATCCTAGAAAATAGAGCGAAGATTTGGCCCCCAGCCGCGGCGCGGTCCGTCCGACGGACTGGCTGCATGCAGGGGGCGCAAACCAACCCCAAGTACGGAGTAGTGGAGCGATGGCTCCTAAAACTAAACTGAATAAATAACCTCGCTAAATAAATCGTCACGTCAGTAACCAGCCGAGTCGAGTCGACTCCAGTGTGCTGGGCAGCGGCTCGCGCGTGGAAGCATGACCCCTGCTTCCGAGAGATGATCTGTCCACTGTCACGGAGACGGAGGACTCCGTAAGGAGTATTGTATCTTAGTCCAGGACGTACGGAGTACGGAGTACATACATATGTGCTGTTCAGGTTCTACGGAGTACTCCGTAGCGCTTTTATGTAGGTAACCTGCCGACTCCCGTTGTCACAATCACACATGGATGGCGTCGTGGTTGCGGAGTCGAGTCGGACGTACTCCGCGCTGTACGGAGTACATATACGGAGTAAGTTTGGATAATTGATAATTGTGACTGACCAGAAAGAAGATCTTGTCGTGGTGGTCCAGTGCCAGTGCTCAGGACACCAGGTCTGTGCGGGACAATGCATCAAAGGATCGATTTAGCAGCTTTTTTTTTCTTTTTCTTTAAACCTTTTTTTAACCTTTTTTTCTTCACTTTTATTTTGGCGCCAACTTCGGATATGTAGAATTTTATTATTTCTTTTTCTGTGTCAACCAAAGTATTATGAATCCGTATGGAGTGGATAATGTACGGATGTCGCCGTCATCTGTTCTGATTGTAACGTACGGAGTACTCCGTAATGATAATCTATTCCAGACCTACGGCTTGTTGGCCTTATTATTAAATAAAGATTGAATGGCGTTCATTGAAGGTAGCATTCTACCAAGACTGGAAACTCTTACGGTGTATGAGCCTTTGGGAACTTCTCTTGACGACTCAGGCATGATGATCTCTGCAATGTGCTGATAAGAAGGACGTGACATAGATGTAATTACATACGGATTGATCCTCGTCGAGTCCATCTCCGCTCATCAGTCACCTATCATAGCTGATTACTCTGTTCTTTGTTGGAACAGTGCTAAATAGATGATGGATCAGGCAGTTGCTCGGCGACTAAATAAACTAAATAACGCTCAGTTCGTTCCACTGACAGGACACTGCCTCTGCTAGGATGGCCCTGCCACGGACGTCGTCGGAGGAGGAACAGGACGTGGTCATCTGAAAAATTCTGACATTTAAGTCAGACAGGCGCTGCTGCAGGGCTCGCTGGACAGCATGCTTGGGTTACATATTATCGTAATTATATATATCGTCGTCATGTATATATAACATAGGAACATCACTACCAAGTCACCAATAATATTAATTGCAACGAGAAATTAACAATGCCGCAGGGATCGTTATGTCGGCCTCATTAACATTATCTATTTTATTCTATCATCTAGAATCATTATATATACAGTCTACGAACAACTTCCCAAGCACTTATACCCCAAGCACTTTTACGTACAGTATATCAACGACCTTAGAACCTTCGTCCATCGGACTGTATATGGCTGGCAGCGATTCCTCAACTTCTTCTGATTCCACCTCCTTTCGAGCCAGGAGGTACAAATACAGACGCACGCGCATTGTGATGCTAGAGCACAACAACCCAAGGACCTGTCTAGATAGCAGCTAGAGAAAGAAGTTGACTAGATACATACAGCCACAAGATGGCCCTCCTGGACGATTAAATCCTCCCATCAGTTTGCGAAGCATACGGCTCTAAAGAGGACCTGCAAATCCGTCATGATGCTCAAGCCTGTCACCCCGCAGATGTGGAATCGGAGAAAGAAGCATCAAGCGCGGAAATAGGCGATAGGTTGGGGCCGGACGGACATTCGGCATGCCGTATTTGTTTGTGTATATCGAATCCTTCGATGGGGCCAAAAAAAAATGAAATCGGATCAAGAACGGTGAAAGGCGAGCACAACGGAATCAGAATAAATAAGAAATATATATATAAATATTTTCATTCTCAGCAGCAGGTAAGAGAGCCAAAGAATAAAAAGGACAAATATAAAGAACAAAAAATCCGAATAATATATTATCCACAAACGCAGAAGGAATTATACAATGGATATATATTGTAGAACATAATTCTATCCTTTCTTGTCTAGATAGTCATTTGTTTCCTGCCAAGATTGCTTTATTCCGAGAACTGCTCTGATGGCATAGTCAAAGCAGATCTAATTTGGCTGCCCAGTATAAGAAGTCAAAGAAAAGATAATATTATATATATGGAATATTAGTAGTCTTGTGCCACATCGGAGTGAAAGCCTTTTTCTTGTTTAGGAGAAAAAACTGAGCAATTACTCTAAGTACTATCCAGCAGCCAGAGCCATACCAGAGATGCAGAAGTAACTGTCTTGTCTTGTCTGGCCTGGTTCAAAACTCAACGAACCGTAACATAAATTAATACCTTGCAAGAAGAGTGTCTTGTCTGAGTGTCTAGACGACTTCCTAACTACGTATGTATATATAACCCGATTCGAAGTTGGCTTGTTGTACAGCATATGTATGTCTCTAATTTTGTTTTTTATTTCAGGGGTTTTCTTTTCAACATTTTCTTTCTTTCTTTCTTTCTTTCATTTTCTTTCTTTCTTTCTTTTTTTTTTCCTTGATGAACCGGATTTTGCATGGTGCATGGCATGGCGCATTACATTGCATTGCTTTACATGGCAGCAGAGACAGCAGCACATACGTACGGAGTATGTACTCCGTATGCAGGGACAGAAACAGAAACAAAGCAAACACCCTGCACCGCCAGATGTGGCTGTGCCGGTCATGCGTCCACCTATCAACCTCATCCCTTTCTGCTCGATAGATCAATAATTAGGAGTCCGAGACGAGATGGAGATATCTCACATTCCTCCGGCACTCCCTAATACTTCATAGTCTAGATACGGAGTACATAGTTCAGGAGGCTGCAGGTGGGGCGGGCGCCACGCGGATGTACCCGTGCCAATCCAGAGAGCTGGGAAGGATGTCCTCAGGGATCAAAATTCAAGGATTCAAGGAGGCTGGACTGGGCTGGAGCCAGGATCAAGGATCCCCTTAATTTAATCAAGGATGATTGCTGGGAATTGGATGCGCTGATCCGGTCCCGGCAGGATATTAGTGGTAATTCAGGGCAGAACAGGTCAACAGGATCAAGGGAGGTATAGGATTCTGAGACGATACAATGGTTGAAATGATACCTCCTAAATGATATCTATTCATTATTCCAAATACTCTGTCTCTAGGTACGGAATATGCAGAACATAACTAGGTAGCTACCTATCTAGAAGGTATGCATCTACCGAACTCGCCCGGCCGTGCAGTGCACACACTAGGAGTAAATACTCCGTACGGAGTAGAGTATGCTGTCTGAGAAATATTCCGCACAAGTCAACGCACGCCCATCCATCCGTCTGTCTGGATTCCTGACAGTCAACCATCCAAAACAAGTTCTACTGTTCTGGACAAGTCGACAAGTCTGTGCGCCGGTCCAGGCCCCTCCGTCCCTCCGCTAGTCCCCATCTTCCGGCTTCCGCGATGCAGGAGGCCCGATCGGTTTCGGCTCATGCCTTCCATTCATTCGAATCATTCCCCTTGCTTTATCTTGCGTTGCCATCGAGGAATTGGCTTGGGTCACCGTCAGGGGTGGTGAGACTTGTCTGTCCCAATTATTTGGTTTGGGTTTTGGTCGGACGCCGTCTGTATTGTCAGTACATAGTCGTACTCTGTATAAAATACTCCGTACGGAGGGGAGATGCTATTATTGTTAATTATTAATGTTACCCAGGATACTGGGTGACGAGTTGGCATTACTATTAGCTAGTTTCAGCTGGAGTACAGAGTACTCCGTACGGAGTAAACAGGGGTTGAATATGCAGCACTCCGTACTCCATAATCAACCACCTCCTGTGGACTTCTACAGAGGAATGCTGTTCTTGAAATGCAAGTACTCCGTATCCAAGACCTGAGTGAAAGATCTCAATTCCAGTCAGTAGATCAGTAGATCTCTCTAGATCATGCCAGGCTGGACCTGCCATGCCAGTGTGGCTGGACAGGCAGGTGCACAGCCACCAGTATGTAGGGTACATACATACCTCTCTGACAAATTATGCATAACCACAGGGAGGCTGGAGCATACCTACCCAATCTAGGAAATCAAGGAGTGGTGGAATGTGATATATCAAAAGACGATCTCGATCGAGTCGAGTTGAGATACCGATCATTGGATTGATTTCAAATTCATTATCCTGCTCTTATTGGCCTGGATCAGGTGCTGATCTTGGGATGTTGAGATAAGGTTCTGCAAGAGGTAAAATTGGGGAATCTAAGTCTGTACCTCTGTATGTATGTACTGTTCTTGCGTGAATGAATCTGTAGTCATGCCCATGCCATGACTGACTCGTTGCAGGTACACGACGGATCTGATTTCAAATAATGGAATCTGAATTTCGCTCCAGTGATGGGCTTTCTCTGTAGTTTGTAGTTAGTTTTGTAGGTGGGGTTGATAATAATACTAATACTGTTTGGATATATATATATTATATAGCATAGTCAAACTAATTACTATCGTGTGAGATCAGATTGTTCTTTGAGGATTCATGTGTAGTGCAAACCACCTCTTCCTTTTCATTCTCCTTTTGTATGTAGGTGTTGATATGCCTACAGTACTAGTTCAAACGAGGATCAACCGAGGTGGAGTGTACTCCAGACGGAGAACTATATATTATTATTTATTTCTTCGTACCGTAGAAGATCAGAAAAGAAGCTCGTCTGAAAACAGGTTCATCGACACTGCATAGTTTTGTAACATGAATATAGATTCTGTAAAACCTTGTGATAAAGGATAATATAGAAGTGCCAGGTATACAACAGTACGACCTGATGATATCTGATTGGTAACTACTTCACAAGATCGATATCATTTGGATTTAAGGAGATTTCCAGATCTTATTGGTGATATTAGATCAATGACAATAACTGTGACTACTGGCAGTATCTGCCTGTTTGTCTGGGTGATATTAACTAGTGCTGACGCTGGAATTCAGGCAGATTCTTGCCTGTCTGATCCAAAATCGACAGGCGACTTCGGTGGATATTTCGGTTGATATTGACGAGTTAAGTAATCGAGTGAGATTGTTGATATGACTGAATGGCTGGATGACAGCGAATAGTCGATAGTCTCTACCAGTCTCGTGTCCATACCAACAACAACCACAACACCCATTGGTTAGCATATCTAATAAGCTACATGGTCTTTGTTTCAGGTGTTGCCAGTCGACTGACAGTGTACTGTACAGACATGCATGCACCCCATACTGTTGTGTATGTACACCATATTCCGTGCATCCATGCCATGCCGTTGGGATCCAGTCATTTCCTTGTGGATATAGTTCGCTCTTGTGCGACTCTCGACGGGATCTAGTTATGTCTCGCATGAGCAGAGCATCTCTGTTTGCCACGAGAATACGGAGCACAGTATTACGAGTAAGAGTAGTAGTAATAATGTGGGGAGCTGCTTAGCCGCGCTGTTCGGTATTAAGACTCGGGACTCCGTCTGAGTATATACCTATACTCGACTGTCGCCGACCTTCTTGCCCATTCTATTGCCATTGGGCATTGCGACAGCTAGAAGGAAGTGCAGCTGACTGAATAATCATCACAATCATCACGATATCGAGTATTCCATCACTAATGGATTCCCACGACGAGGATGAGTAGGCGAGCAGGGCTGCTGGCTGCTGCTCCCGTGACCTCGCCACCGGCCGCGAACATCCCCCGGACGCCACGTAGCCGCCGCGGTCACTCGCCCGGTGTCACCAACCCCCATCGCATCGCATGGCCGTTCTCCAGCAGAGATCGACGTCCACTACGACGCCCCCAACAGGCCCCCGCACGCCACTATGGCGAGCTCTGTCGCTTCCTTCGATGCAGCGTCTGTCAGCTGTCTGGGAGTGCTCAGCTCAGTTCAGGTCCTGGCATGTCGTGTTATGTCCTGTCCTGTCCATGTGCCCCGGACCTCGGTGCTGACAGGGCATGGGACATGCGGTTGATGCGTTGTCCCATGGAAGTCATGAGTCGCGATGCATACTGTAGGTTCGTTCCCTCGGGACGAAATCCGCCGAGGGAGTCGATGAAACTTTTGGGCCATGTGGCATGTGCTTCAGCTGCTGTCCGACGGATTAAGTAGTACTCCAGTTTTCGGTACCTGTAACCTGCCTAGGTAGGATCTGTTACTCCACACAAGTCGACACAGTCGACACAGTCGGTTCTCTGTACTCCGTACTATAGTCTACTATTAATGAAAGAACGAGTTTTTTTTTGGACTAATAATTATGAATTATTGCCTAGTATACCGTATGGAGCTGACAGACTATCAGCATAGGCAAGCCTGCTCCGTACATTCGACCAGCCTTGTGTGGGACATTCCCCAGGCTAGACCCCAGGACGAACCGGGCGAGTCTGATCCATGTCGATCTGGAGAGAGACGGAGTGGTCCGTCGCCCGCCATCTTACCGCTTCGAATCACTTCCGCCCGCAGCTCAGGTTGGATGGCCTTAACGGACGTATGTATGTAGGGGCACAGGTGATCCAAACAGCCTGCATTCCGAATGGATGGATGGCTCTGTTTGGACTTTCGAGTGCATTTGGTGCTTTGTATCGTGGGGTTGTTGTATTTGGTATTTCAGCTTGGTGATTAAACTGCTCCGTATGGGAGGACTCCTACACTTGGGGGCTATTGCTGGGTCATGATACCAGCAGGTCAGATGGATTGTTGCATAACAGGATCTCCTGACACTTCCAAGTTCCAACGAGGAGCAATAGATGGTAAGGAGGATGAGATGGCGTACGGAGTACTCGTACAATAGCATTGTCTCGCCAGTCTGAATTATGATCTATCCATTCCAGTAATAGCAGGCCGATTGACTGATCACTTGCCCGATTGAGCACTTGGACTAGGACTGATATCGAGTTATGGATCGACCAGTGTCGAGCTAGCGACTGGACGGCGTTCTGTTCCAACTTTGCAGCATCACCTTTGCGGACGCCTTATTGTGCTTGCTTTGTTGTTCGGGACTCTGGTCGCCTTGTTTGGTGATGCTGAACTGTCTTCCGAATCGGGAAACGCACGGGCTGGCTCCTCATCACATGACCACTTCCCGAAGACCCCGATATCTCCCCGACAAAAAGCCCGTCCGCTTCGACCTGCGTACTCCGTACACGTACAGGACTCGGTACTCTGGAGTCTGGACAGGCCAATAGGGATACCAGTAATATAATAATAATAATAATAATAATAATAATAATAATAATAATAATAATAATAATAATAATAATAATAATAATGGCGATGTTAAGTTTCAGATATCACCATTTTTCAGATCCGAACACCCCTGTCAACGCAATGCAGTGCCCGAGAATGGGACCGTTGCAACCGTTGCCTGTCAGGGAGGCGGCCAGCTACGCCAGTTTGGGAAGCTGGAAGAGGCCTTCCTGCCTGGGAAGGTACTAGCACCCCATAGGGAGCGAGCCCGGCGCCGCGCTAAGGCTCCAGCCCGTTGGGCGGGGATGGAGCGGCGCATCCCTATTTTCTGAAGATAGCAGCCAGCAGGTCACGGGGTTTCCCCGTGACAAAATAAGAATGCCCGTCCGGCGCCTGCGATTGGCTGCTGGCTCCCAACAGCGCGCGCCCGCGGCTCGGGGAAAGCTGGATGGCGCCAAAGCTTGTCGGCTAGACGATCATGTGGCATGGCACGACCACTCTCCAACGCCTCGTCGAGCCGACCTCGCGCGGAAATCATGCGGTGATTGGCAATGCCCCGTGCCTCATCTTTGCCTGTCTCGGTAGTCTGGAGCCATGGACAGCGCGTCCGAAAACACCCTGTTTTCGCCTCACATGCTGCTTTCTCTGCCATGGAATGGACACAGAGCACTCCGTAAGGACCGAGTACGACGGACCTTCGTCCTTCGTTTTACTTGGAACCAGGTGTTATTATTGATCTCATCCGCGTACCCGAGCCGAGGGCCTCGTTTAGAACCCAATCAATCTGTGTTTGCAGACAAAACTCATCCCACGGATGCGGAATAACGGAGAAAGGATCAGCTGCTGTAGGGAGAGGATAACAATGTTTAGTTATTAGTGCCAGTTCAACGGCGTCACTATTCAAACGATCGGTACAAACCGCGAAGCAATGAGGCGAGTAATGTTCAATAATTAGCCAGACGGCTGCTTCCGAAAACAGCCAAAAATGAAGTCCCGAGGCCGGGTAAATCAGCCCAGTAGAAGTATTATCCTACCCCCCCCCTCCCTTTTTT